AACATCATGAAGGGTCAATCATCTCATCAAGAAAATAAGGAGGAATAAGCCAGAGTAATGTAGCAAATACTAAATTATCTCATACACCATTCTTCTGCTTTTTCCTAATTCGTTAAGCTTTAAAAAACACAATAAAATATTGGATCCTCTCTGCTTCAAAAGGCTATTATGCTACTGTAAAATCATTTCTGAGTGAAAACATTATGCAGGGGCGAAAAACCTTCATCTTTCTATGCACAAACGAGATCACTTATAAGAACTCACAAGGAAAATAATAATTATCTCACAAAAAATTACATGATATCTCATTTTCCATTTTGACAGCATTTCTAAGTTCAACAAATGCTTATTAATACATCCGTTCGTTTACGAAACAAGATGACTGGACTAGAAACTCGACAACATTTGACAGCATCAAAATTTGAAGGGAGAAAATTTTCAATTACAGAAATGGAGTCATTAACTTGAAAATTATTACTTTCCAGAAACAGGCGAAACATAAAAATCCAATCTTTATTTGTTGGAAAAGAAAAGGATCAGTAGAACTGGAACACGTGAATGGAACATGGGAATTGGCGAAACTCGTATGAAAAATAAAAAACGAAAGGAAGAAACAGGGTTCATAACCTGGCAACAGTTACAGTCCAGGGTGTGATGTGCATATCCTCTGTGGCACTATCCTCACCATACACGTCTTGAACTCCTCCTCCAACAGTTGATTTGGCGTCTTTGTCTATAACTGATGGTGATGATGACGATGTAGCACTTTCCACTACTTCTTTCGAAGTATTCTCCATCAACACGCTGACGTTTCGATCTCCGGGACGCCCATTTGAACTCACAGCAGCCACCACCACTGATGGAGCTGCCACTCTTTGTGTAGACCGTGGAAAGACTCTAGGTACCCCAGAGAGCGAATTATTCTGCATAAAATCTCATTCAAAATCGGACAAAGATTTGATTTTTATACATTTTACAAAGTAGTTATTCTTATTTCTCAAATCTGATCCGAACTCGAACCGGAAAATGAAAATTTGCAAAAATAAAAAAAAAACAATTGGATTAAGGTTTAAATTACCAGAAAAGTGCTTCCATTTACGGCGAACATGGTGTTAGAAAATGTCAGTAAATCAAGAGTACTTCAAGGAAAATGGAGGAAGAAAGAAAAAGAAGAGAAACTTGAAAGGGTGGATAACTCTATGTGATCTCCGATTCCCCTTTCCCTCTTTCCTTTCTCTCCTACTTGTCCTTGTGTTGGATCATTTATATCGGAAATGCCAACTCTCTCCTCTCTCTCTTTTCCAACTCGTTTCTAATTTTGGTTCAGCTTCATAGAATTGTACAACAAGGCCGTGTTTGGTTGGATATTTGAATTAAGATGGTTGGGTCGAATAATTTGGACTAAAATTATCAGAAAAATAGAAAGAGATGTTGATGGGAGTGGATTGAAATGAGCATGGTCCACACACAGTCAGGTTGTATTGCTATGACCGAGTTTCACGAGCTTATAAACGTACAACACACAATCTTTGTACAAGTTGATTTTAAAGATAAATTCCATTCTTAATACATCTATGTACTAGTATTACGGAAAGTTCTTTTGTTGTGAATGGACGATTCAAAGAGAGTCGCGAACATCAATTTAGTTAGAGAATAGATTGTAACAGTTATTTTTGAGTCCCATTTTGCTAATCAAAACTTATCCTCTTTTTATTAGTCAATTCAAGAAATGAATTCAAACAGTTAAAGATAGTGGGTATCTTAGCAGTTGGGTATGTATGGTTTCTGCTTCATATGTTTTAAAAATCCTTCTAGTCGCACAAAGTACTTTCTAAAAATTATTTGATAGAAAAACAGTTTTTCTATTTTCAAAAGTCGATTTTGACTTTTCAAAAACCTTGTCAAAGGGAGCCGTAATAATACTCAATACGTGTGAGGCGTGGGCATTGATAAGGATGTTCTTGGTCCGCACATGAGAAATCTCATGTGGAAACCGACATAAGAATTGTGAACCATGAAAAATACCAAGGAAACCAACAAAGCTGCTTGTCCCTTTTCATTGAAATATGCCTCAATATTAGTCTTTTGGTCACTTATTAATTCGTGACTTGCTGTAATAACAAGGTTTACATGGATCAAGTGTCCCCCGTTTCTCTTGTGATTTACCATAAAAGAATGAAAACCAATAATTGATAGTTAAGGATGCTAATGGAACGGCAATATTCGAGAGAGACAAAGATTAAAAAAAAGCATTGTTTATTTTTTTTTTCCAATATATAATAATATAAATTGAATAACATAAAAATAAAAAGTTTCATGACATGTTCAGAGAATTTGAGGGTGGAACCGAAAATTTTGATATTAATTTACAATAAGAATCAAAATCGCGACCACTTTACAAATGAATATATTATCACTACTTCATAAAAGAGATTTGGTATTAACTTAGAAACCATAAATAAATTAAAATCAATATATTTT